CAGATGGGGCCAGTCATTCAGATATGGAAAAGAAGCGTTGGAGTGTTATCTATGCAGTACAGGATGTCATAATTACAAGAACTCCGTTGTTTTTGATTATTCATTAAAAGGTGGAACCAATCTGAATTCTGTTTTGGATACCCTGAAGACTTTTCTATCAGATGAGGTACATATCGCCATTTGATGAGAAAAGTTAATAAAAGGGTTTTTTTCAAAACCGTTGGAAAACCAAGTCCTTGATTTTTGCTCAGAAAATTTTGCCAGCCATATAGCACGATAGAACATAAAATTTTGAGTAAAATGAGACATCTCTCAGCTGTATATCATGTTTTCGTACGCAACTGCAGTCGATTTACGAAAGGCGAGAAAGGGCGTGAAACTTACTAAAAGATTCCAGCGAAAAAGCATGATAGACACCCACGAGAGGTCTTAGTTTACTCAGAATTTGAAAGTAAAATAAGATCTCTCGTGGGGGTCCATCATGCTTTTTCACTGGAATGTTTTCTTTTTCGGAACAAAGGAGTTCTTGTAATTATGACATCCTGTACTGCATAGATAACACTCCAACGCTTCTTTTCCATATCTGAATGACTGGCCCCATCTGTTTCGATATTCTGACCAGCTCACTTTGTAGAGAATTTTAAGGGCTATCCAATGGTATGTTTTTGTGAAATAGATAAGTTTTCATTATGGCAGAAAAACGACTAAAAGAGTATTTAAAGCACTAATAAAGGTCAAAATCATTATATCGGACAAATCTTTTCGGCTATTGACCCATGTACACATATTTTTGAAAGACTTATTTTACAGGTCAAAATAGAGTGGTTAACGGGAAAATTAGTCATTATTATAAACATGAGTCACGTTAACCTACCGGTTTGCTGTGGTGCTACCGAGTATTTTTAATCTTAGACCACGCAGTTACATTTCTTAAGACTATCTTATACATCATTTTGTAGCCCTTGAAATTCTCTATCGAACCGTGTATAATGCTCGATATTTGCTGATATGATTATCACTTCCTTTAAGAACTTGGATTGTTAGCATTCATTAGTGCTGTGCATACTATTGCTGAGAAGAAAGCCGATCAACAAATGTGAGAGACGAGAGTTATACCACTTGTCACTCCGTCCACTCCGGAGCGAACCGGAGTGATGGAGTAAACCGGAGTGAAAGTTCACTCCGCGGAGTAGCGGAGTATGGAGTACGGTGTTTCCCCCTTGGAACAAGCTCAAAACCCTAATTTTCCTAACACTTTCTTTTCGGTAGATTGTTAATTTTTTTCTAAAAACAAATATTGCCAAGATGACCAACGATGCCAATAACCTGTAGTCCATCTCTTTTTCTAGTTCCCAAGCCAAAACTGTGAAGGATAGGTAGGTCCTCGAAAAATGCCTATGAACCAAAAGAGACAGAGAGACGAGACTTGTGCAGTTTTAAAAGGCACACTTAATTGACATTAGTACTCTAAAATACTTCAATAAATATGGCAGAAAATAGCCTTTAAAATACACAATCCGTAAAGAAAGTACGCTCTACAAGGCTTATATGGTTGCTTGACTTCAATGTCTAAGACTGTTCTAAGAAAAAGTGCCTGGTAAAATCTCAGCGCTCAAAAATCGGTTTTCTAGAATCCCATGATGATGTAAGGGAGCCGAAAAAGTTGCTGATACCGTTAGATTCAGCATGATCGAAAACCTGTAAGATCCAGCTTCAATATTAGAAACGGTAGTGTGTAAAAATTCGTCTCATTGCAGCTACCTCGACCAAGCGAATTTTAGCTTCAACAGAAACCTCATCAGCAACAACAGTTCAAACTACGACCAATGTAATAATTACAGTAGCAGGTAGATTTTACATCCAGTTGAAAGAGTGAAAGGTCCAAAAGTTTATATGTATTTATTGTTTTGTCTTAAAATCCACAGCTACATCAGTTACGTCAACAGTTCAATTAACAACAACTACCACGATGCGTACGCTCTTTCTTTCTTTTGGCATGTTTATTGGCTGCATGACGGCTGAGATTAGTTTCTTTGCTGACTTGCTTACTTGTTTAGCTATTAAGAGCAGAAAGCACACGCTACTGTTAAATGATATTTATGCACTGTTGCTCATTGCACGTCGGAAGAAACGAAAGCTGCTCTGCATTTTTATGCTATGAAAAATTCAGGGTCAAATGAGACAAAAGGTTTCATGAATTTACGAAGGTATCAGTTAGGTATGAACTGTGGTACATGGAGAATCTGAATAGGGATAACTTAGCACTCAAAGTTCGCGTCTCACTTCACGGATGAAAAGCATTTGATTGGAAGAAGGACGAATACCCCGCCTTTTGGCTACCTTGCTGTATTGGGTGTTGTCCGGAGACAGTTTTGTAATCCAGATATCTTCCCTACAACTAATATTAGCTGTAGCTCTGGACAGAAGGCCAGACCGACTCAGAGTTCTTTCGCTAAATCGCTTGAGCTCCCCCCGTACACACTGACTAACCCCATACTAGTCACGGGGGCTGGTGTATGTCACAACGTAGTCAGCATGCTATCGGACAGGTGATCCGAGGCAAAAAACCGTTAATGACTTGCCCAGAGTCATTCCATGTCTGATGGTGCCGAGGCTCGAACACAGTACCTTGTGGATACGTGCCAAACAACTTAACCACACAGCCAGAGCGGCTGCATTTGACCGATCGGACTCAGCTCGCTGTTTTTCATCACACGTTTGGTCTCTGCCAAAACATCTCTTATATACGGCTTTATGCTCTTAGTGAAGTAATTTGTTATTATGATTTAGTCGTTATTTAATTTGTCTTTGGATTAAGATGTACTGAATAATTGTATGGTTTCACAAGCCTACACAAAGGTTATGATTATAATGCACATAAGATATCATCTAACGAGAAGCGGTTTTCCGTTTTTGTTCTTTTTTCAACTACAGTTATTTCTACGATAATATATGAGACGACATTTACTCTTGCGAAGGGAAAGCATATAGTTGACCTCCCTTACATCAAATGAAAGTCTTTTGAATGTACTTTCAGCTGATGTTGCTTTGAGAAGGAAATGAACTAGCTGCCTAGAAAACGTTTCCCTTTAACGAATATCAATAGCTGTGGTTTAGGGATACGGACAGACTATTTGAAATGCAAAGGTTATTTTGGATGGTAATGAGTGAGAGCATCGGCTATCATAACCGTGTATTTTGTAGTAACAACGACTGTTGCTGCTACAACCATACCAACAACTAGCTTAAGTGCAGCTACCTCGACTACTGCAATTTTAACTTCAACAGAAACGTCATCGGGAGCAACAATTCAAACTACAACCAAGGTCGTAACAATTGCGGCAGGTAGATTTTGCACCTAGCTGAAAGAGTGAAATACAAAATATGCATTTCTTTTGTGTTAGGATCAACTACAACAACCTCAGAACCAATTTCGTCAACAGCTCAAGCAACGACAATAACAACCACAGCACCAATGACGTCAACAGCTCAAGCAACGACAATAACAACCACAGCACCAATGACGTCAACAGCTCAAGCAACGACAATAACAACCACAGCACCAATGACGTCAACAGCTCAAGCAACGACAATAACAACCACAGC